TTTTTGCTATAGGGCACATGTACTCACTGACGAGACAGAGACAGAAAGTGAGAAATCATCCCTCCCAGAGGAAATAGTCATGTCACAATCCCTTCTCCTCTCAGGATTTTAGATACGTACACACGTGCCCAGCGTAAGTTTTAAGCCACCAAGTCCAGGACTTAAACCAAGGTAGACTATGTGGGAGTCCAGTGACTACGCCATCTATTGGTCCCTGACAATAGGTTTTAATTCAGCTAGAATAATAAATACCTTGTGGCTAATTTTTACTTCAAGTATCTATTATTAAGGATTTGATAAATGTGATTATTAACTCGTTCTCTTTTCACCTTTGCTCTCTCTCTGGTAGACACACACACACATTCACACACACACTCATTTATACCTTTCATTTTTATGTTTTTGCCATAGGACATGTGTGCTCACCAGAGAGAGAGAGAAAGTTGAGAAATTACCACCACCCCCCCCCGCCTCGGGCTATGGCCACACTGCAATCTCTTTTCCATTCTCCTCTCAGGATTTTGGGCGTGCATGCACAGTGTGCCCAGCATGGTTTTCAGGCCACTGAATCCAGGATTCAAATTGTGGCCCACCATGTGGGAATCCAGTGCTTTAACCATCATACTACCTGCTGCCCCAGTTTATATCTATTTTAAACAACTTTTCTTTTGTTTTCAAATTGTACACTTTGAAAAATATAGAAAGCTGCAAACAAGCAAATATGCCTATAGTGCTATGTTGGTTGACTTTAAGCACTCAACATTTTTGCTTGCACAAACTCTTGGAAAGCGGTTTGGTATTAGGTATGAAAGTCAAACTCGTGTATATCCTACCCTCTGTTGCCACTCCTGTGCACCAGAAGACATACAAAAAAATATTCATATCGGCATTATAAAAGTAGCATAAAGCAACTGCACATCCGGCAACAGCGGAGTGGCTAAATAGGGATATTTTCTTTTAATAAGATACAAACAGAATGAAAACGAATGGACTGCAACCACAGACTACGCAGGGATGAATCTCACAAACATAATGTTGTGTAAGGAAGGCTGGTCACAAAAGAAGACATTTGAGGCCATGTAAATAAAATTCAAAATGAACAAAAGCAAGCAATACATGTTGTAGAGATATATACATAGCTGGAAAAATTAACAAGGAAAGCAGGGAACAGTTAATATACAAGTCAAGTAACTTTGAGACAGAGGATAAAGGATATATTTGGAGAGAGACACCTGGGACTTGAAAGGTTCTGAGAATGTTCTAATTTTTCAGTGGAGTGTGGGATTTTTTTTTTTTAAATTGCTTTTCTTTACACATATGAGGGGACTTTTAAAAAGTTGACAGAAAAAGGAAATTTAAGTATGAGTTTATTTTGGTGCAAAAAAATTTGAGGGCTGGCCCTGTGACCTGGTGGCTGGGGGGTGGTGGGGTGGATCCCAACAGGCTGGCCACATGATTCAAATCTTGGCCCCAGTGGCTTGAAAAACATGCTGGACCCATGTGCATGCATGCCTTAAATCCTGACAGGATGGAGAAAAGAGAGAAGGGGTTGCAGCCTGACCAGCCCCCATTCAGGGGTGTTTCCCCTTGTCTCTGGCAAGCATGTGCACCCTGTGGCAAATACAAAAGATTTGAAATCTGTGCTTATTTTTTTTAATAATACATATTTTCCATGAACTTATTGAAGACCCCTCATAACTTTTATGTACTCAATTTGTGGTATCGAACAATAATATATCAAAATTCTTAGTTGCTCTTGGAAGTAGGTAATATTTGATCATTGAGTTCTGAATACCTCAGTACCATTCAGTACTCATTGACTTTACTTCTTCGAGCATGTCACTAAGTTCATTTATTGAAGCATCAGAAGTATTTTTGCAGCCGAGCTACAGAATGTATAGATTTTATTGTGTCTGAGTCCAAATTGTTTCAAGAGAGAATTGACTCCTAGATGAGCGGTACCTATTAGAGGCTCTAACGAGGTGGAGAAAAGATTATAATGCTTATAATAATATTTGTGCGTTATTTAGTAATCTCAGTCTTTGTACCCACAGATAGTTCTTCAGACACTTCTGGCCTTTGCAGTCACCTGTTATGGTATAGTTCATATTGCAGGAGAGTTTAAAGACATGGATGCCACTTCAGAACTAAAAAATAAGTAAGTCTTCCTCTTTTCATAGGCACTTAATTTCATAGGCGTTTGCTTTATTTACATAATCTTAACATGTATGTTTCTGGCAAATAAAAGTTGGGGTTTTTTTGTACATTTTGATTATGGAAATTGAATAATGAGGTCAAGATATTCAGGCAGTGTTTGATATGATAGGAAAAGTGGAAGTCAAATGCCAGATTATTGCTATTGGAGTAAGATATTATGTTGTGGTACCTGCTTCTTGCTTAAAATGATTGATTGAGAGCCAACGGGTAGTGTGGTGGTTAAGGTGCTGGAGTCCCACATGGCTGACTACAGTCTGAATTGAGGATCTAGTGGCTTGAAACTCACGCTGTGTGTGTGTACGCACGCACATGCCAAAAAATCCCAAGAAGAGAATGGAAGAGAAAGGATTGTGGTGTGGTCATCCCCTCAAGGGGATGATTTCTTGCTTTCCCTCTCTGTGTCTCTGTAGCTAGTACCTGCTCCCTATGGCAAAAACATTTAAAAAAATTAAAAAGATTGGTTGATTGGCTGGATTGATGAATGGATGTAAGGAAATACACAGAAAGAAAGGTAATTCCTTAGAAATTTTTACCAAACACTATCTCTGTTTCTTCCTGCCTCCTTTCTTTGTCCCTCTCTTCCTCCCTTTTCTCCCCTCCTCCTCTTCTTGTCCTAGCCTTAGTTATTGGAAGAACAAAGCATTTTCTGTGTTCTCCCTCATCTGAACTTAGTCTGTGACATAGGCTCTGCTGTCAGCCTGTTTTCCATCCCTGGATTAAAGTATATTGGTTATTCTGCTTTCTTTTATACTTCTAAGCTGTTTTCATGAATATTGTTCACTTTCTTTTTCCTGTTTTTGCTTTCTTAAAATCATCCTTCAACTTTGTTCTGTTCCATCTATGGACTTTATCCACCTTCCTGATCCTGAACATTATAACCCTTTATGATTTTTCTTAGAAGATTCACAGTAAATGTTTATGCATTAGATTCATTCCCCATAACTTTGTTATGTACAGTTTAGCTACATAAAGGGAACTTCAAAAGTTAATGGAAACATGGAATTAAAGTATGAGTTTATTTTGGTGCAGAATATTTTGAAATTCATGCTTAGTTTTTTTTTCCCCATAATAACACAGTTTTCATAAACTTTCTGAAGACCCTTCATATTAGGCCTCCTGCTTTCTGTGGGAATGTGCTTAGCTATTTAGTTAAGCTAACTCTGAGACTAATTTTTATCAAAGGAAGGAGTATCGTATTTTCAGGAAAATGATATTTTAAAACAAACACCAAAGACTGAGGTGTTTGTGAACCTTTTAAGAATATATACATATATCTCTTTCACTAGAAAAGAAGAAAGTCTACTCCATCACCATTGCACTTGCAGTCTACCAAGGATCAGAGGCAAGGGGCCAGGGAAGAAAGATGTAAAACAGAATGGCATTGGAGCCAGCAGGTGGCATGGTGGTCAGGGAACTGGATCCCACATGTCCTACTCTGCAGTTTGAGTCTCAGACCCAGTGATTTGAAAACATGCAAGGCACATATGCATGTGTGCCCAAAGTCATAAGAGAAGAATGGAGGAGAATGGGTTGCAGTGTTGCCATCCCCTCAGGGGGTGATTTCTCACTTTCTGTCTCTGTCAAGTTCATGCAGTCTATTGCAAAAATCTAAAAACGGAAAAAAAAAAAACCCAAAACCCACAAACCCAGAGTGGCATTAAGTAAGTGGTAGCAAAATCTATGAGTTTGGACAATGGTAGGTACAGAGGGCCAAAAAGAATCTTTCATTGTACTAGAAAGATTTTTGGAACAGACCTGTGAAATGATCATACAGCTTGAATAGTGAGGGCCAAGAGATAATCAAACGTACAATCAATGTACTACCGTTTTATTTACTTTTTTTTTTTTTAGGTTTTTGCCATACAAAGAGAGAGAAACAGTGAGAGGGAAAGTGAGAAATCATCCCCCAGGAGGGATGACAATGCCACAGTTCCTTCTGCTCTATTCTCCTCCTGGGATTTTGGGCATGCATGCACACTGGCATGAGTTTCAAGTCCCTCAGTTGGGGACTTGAACTGTGGCCTGCCTCATGAGAGTCTTGTACCTTAACCACCATATGATTTGTTGGCCCTGTGCACTACTGTTTTTTTTGGGGGGGGTTTTGGTGTTTTTTTTTTTTCTGTTTTTTTTTTTTTTACAAGAGAGATTTTTGCTATCTCGCTTGAGAGACAGAGACAGAAAGAAAAAATCACCCCTTATGGGGGATGGCCACACCGCAATCCCTTCTTCATTCTCCTTGGTATTTTGGGCATGCACGCGCACGTGCCTGGTGTGAGTTTTAAGGTGCCAGGTCTGGAACTCAAACTGTGGTGGGCCATGTGGGAGTCCACCAACATAACCATTACACCATCAGTAATGGTCAAACTACTGTTGTTGTTTGTTGTTTTTTTTTTTTTTTTTTGGAAGTTTTTTTTTTTTTAGGGGCTTGAGGCTATTTGTTTTTATTTTTTGAGGGATTTTTGCTATACAGCGCACGTGCTTCTTGGAGAGACAGAGACAGAAAGTAAGAAATCACCTCCAGCAGGGATGGCCATGCCACAATCCCTTCTCTTCCATTGTCCTCTTGGGATTTGGGGCATGCTCGCACACACCCCCGGTGTGAGTTTTAAGCTTCCAGGTCCAGGACTTGAACTGTGGTCAACTACGTGGGAGTGCAGTGAAGTAACCACTATGCCACCTGCTGGTCCCCTTTTTAAGAGACTGTTTGTGATGGGCTGCTGTTGGATTTACAGAGATGATTAATTTGAGCTTGTATTTATGTTATTATTCATAGGTGTCCTAGAAGGAACTTTTTTTTTTTTTTTTTGAGAGATTTTTACTG